TGAATGGAACAACACGCAGCTGAACTATTGATAGATTTATTAAGGCCATGAAACCACATGGCTTTTAGGCGTACTCGGTGATAGCATGGAGTACCAGTTCTAAGGGATACTTGATGAAAAGACGAACAGGTGAACATTTCAGTGACAAGAGAAACACCTTGAAACTTTATTCAAATAAAATTTATCCTTGAGATTAAAAAGTTCAGTGAGTTAGATATTTCTGGATGCTAATGACATCTAAATACCTGCGGTTGTGAAAAAATAGCATTTCAGAAAAGAATTCAGATCGTTCTCCGGAAAAATCGAAAAAAGTTTACACACACACACACACACACACACATACATATATATATACATATATATATATATATATATATATATATATATATATATATATGTGTGTGTGTGTGTGTGTATGTGTGTGTGTGTGTGTGTGTGTATGTGTGTGTGTGTGTGTGTGTGTGTGTGTGTGTGTGTGTGTGTGTGTGTGTGTGTGTGTGTGTGTGTGTGTGTGTGTGTGTAACTGTAGAAAAGGTACGAATGAGAATGTATATCTTTAGTTTTTTCTATATTTGTGGCAATGAACACTGTGCGTGTATGTTCATTTCTTCCATGTATATGTATATATATATATATATATATATGTGTATATATATATATATATATATATATATATATATATATACACACACACATATATACATATATACATATATATATATATATATATATATATATATATATATATATATATATATGTATATATATATATATATATATATATATATATATATATATATATACATATATATATATATATATATATATATATATATATATATATATATATATATATATATGTATTATATATATATATATATATATATATATATATATATATATATATATATATATATATATATATATATATATATATATATATATATATATATATATATATATATATATATATATATATATATATATTCATATTCAAATATTTTTATATGTATTGTTCCACCCATATATGCGTATGCTCTTCGTGTCCTCATATGTACTTGTGCACATGTATGTTATCATGTACGTATATGCGTTTGTGCACATACATGTCCCCGACCCCCGGCCTCGCTTGGACAGACACTGCATGACCTTCAGGATAAAAGCTCATGACGGTCCTCGCCTCATGTCCCGCTTGACCACTTTTATCCACTGCATGTATTTACACTCTTGCGAAAGGAGAATAAGGGGATGGTGGTGATGACGGAAGTAGAAGAAGAAGAAGAAGAAGCAAAAGATGATGATGATGTTGATACCGGTAGTAGTAATGTTAATCGAAGATGTAGAAGAAGAGGAGGAAACAGAAGAAGAAGAAGAAAAAGAAAGAGAAGAAAAAAATGAAAATGAAAATAGAAATAAAAATAGAAATAAGAATGGAAATAGAAAAAAAAAGAAAAAAAAATGAAAATGAAAATGAATATGAAAATGAAAATGAAAAAAAAATATCTAAAGATGAAAATGAAAATAAAAAAAGAAGGGAAAAGAAAAGAAAGAAAAGGAAAAGAAAAAAAAAGATTAAAAAGAAAAAGATAAAAAAGAAAAAAAAGAGAGAAAAAAGGAAAGAAAAAGAAAAAGAACAAAAAGATAAAAGAAAAAAAGAAGAAAAAAAAGAAAAATGTAAAAAAAAAAAAAAAAAAAAAAAAAAAAATGATCTCCCTTCACCCTTTCTTTCCTCCAACTTTCAGTCCCCGTCTCCACCCTTCACCCTCCCTCACCTTTTCTCCCCCTCTTTTTCCCTCTCCCCCCTCCCTTTCCTCTCCATCTCCCTCTCTCCCTTCCCTTCCCTCCCCCCTTTCCTCTCCATCTCCCTTCCCTTCCCTTCCTCCCTTTCCTCTCTCCCTTCCCTCCCCTTCTCCGTCTCCCTCTCCCTTCCCTTCACCTCTCCGTCTCTCTCTTTCCCTTCCCTTCCTCTCTCCGTCTCCCTCTCTCTTCCCTTCCTCTCTCCGTCTCCCTCTCCCTTCCCTTCCTCTCTCCGTCTCCCTCTCCCTTCCCTTCTCCTCTCCGTCTCTTCCTTCCCTTCCCCTTTACCTTCTCTTCCTTCCCTTCCCCTCTACCTTCTCTTCCCCTCTCCGTCTCCGTCTCCCTTCCCCTCTACCTTCTCTTCCCCTCTCCATCTCCCTCTCTCCCTCTCCATCCCTCCCTCCCTTCCCTTCGTTTCTCCCTTCCCTTCCCCTCTCCATCTCCCCCTTTCCTCTCCGTCTCCCTCTCTCTCTTCCCTTCCCCTCTCTCCCTTTCCTTCGTTCTGTAACCTCGTCCAGGATACGGGATATATTCAACCTTCGATTTGCGGGATGCTGTGTTTCCAAACCGGCCTCGAGATGCGGTTCGGAGATAATTCACAGGAATCACAATTAGAAGACGTATGATTGAAACCTTGATTATGTTGTGATGGTTGTGAGATGTTATGTTGTTTTGTTTTTTGTTTTATCTTTTTTTCTTGTTGTTGTTGTTGTTGTTGTTGTTCTTCTTCTTCTTATTATTATTATTTTTACTATTATTATTATTATTATTATTATTATTATTATTGTTATTATTCAAATAGTAACTGGAAAAGCGTGATGACGTATATGGTGAAGAGGATAGTAACGATGATGATGATGTAGATGGTGATGATGGTGATGATGATTTTGATGGTGACCATGATGATATTTTGGTTTATATTATTATTACTGCTGCTGATGATGGTAATAAATGGTGATAGTAATGAAAGTATATTAATAACAAAATGATGACAAATATGACAGTCAACGACATAAATACCGCTATTACTACTACTACTAATGGGGATAATGACGACACATATAATACCAGGAAATAGATGATATCTAAAGATGAAAGCCAGGACAAAGGTCTATAAATCCCCCCAACCCCCCCAAAAAAAAAAAAAAAAAAAAAAAGTTTGGTAGAAAAGTCTTGAAATTGTCTACAATATCTATACCTGTATCTATTTAGCCCTCTGTCCATCTATCTATCTATCTAACTATTTACTTATCTATTCATATGTCTGGTAGATTCATATACCTATATGATCTATATACATATATCAATTTACAAAGTAGGAAACATATAAGACGGAACATAACAACCTATCGCAAAAAAATAAAATAAAATAAAAAGAAAGAAAACAAAAACGAGTTAAAACCACAAAACGTTCATGAGAGAAAACTCAACCAACCAAATAGCTTGTGACTGTTAACTAGCAAAAACAAGGCCGGGAACTGGTTGGGAGAGGTGAGGCAAGGTCAAAGCATTTCGAAAATTCTCTTCCAAGGTCAAGGGGGAAATGGCTCCCTGATGCCAGCAATTCTACACACACATACACACACACACACACACACACACACACACACACACACACACACACACACACACACACACACACACACACACACACACACACACAAACACACACATACACACATATATTATCATTAATTATGTATATTTAACTGTGTTTTCACTCTCATTTTTATAATTTATTGGTATAATCATCATTACTATTTTATGTAATTATTAAGCTTATCATATTATCTTTTGATTTATATGGGTGTAATTACCATTATCTGTATTATCTTCACTATTTCGTCATCATAATCATCGTGATTAGCATAACTTATATTGAACACTTTATCTCAAACCAAGTTGCAAGAATATCCAGAGCAACAGTTAACGAGTTGCAATTGCGAAAGAAAATTCCCCGCGTGAAGTAGGAGGCTGGATTCTGCATCTTGGGAGAGGCGGGGAGGGGGGAGAAGGAGGGGGAGGAGAAGGAGGAGGAGGAGGAGGGGTAGGAGGAGGGGGAGGGCGAGGAGGAGAGAAGAGGAGGAGGAGAGGGAGGACAGGGGAAATAGAGGGGGGTAGGAGTGGGGAGGAGAGAAGGAGGGGGTAAGAGGAGGAGGAGGAGGAGGAAGAGGGAGAGGGGGAGGAGGAGGAGCGGGGGAGAGGAAGGAGAGAGAGTGGGAGAGGAGAGGGCGTAAGTGAGGAGAGGAAGGCAGGAGTAGGGGGTTGGAAGGAGGAGGGGAAGGAGTGGGGAGCAGTGGGAGGAAAGAGGAGGAAGTGGGAGAGGAGAGGGGGTAGGTGAGAGGAGGAGGGACGAAGAGGAGGAGGAGGAGGAGGAGGAGGAGGAGGAGGAGGAGGAGGAGCAGGGAGCAGTGGGCAAGAAAGGGGAGTGAGTGAGAGAGGGAAGGAGGAGGAGGGAAGAAGAGGAGGAGGAGGAGGAAGAGGAGGAGGAGGAGGGGAAAGAGGAGGAGAGAAGGGGAGGGGAAAGGCAAAGGAAGGGAAAGAGGCAAAAGAGGGGAAGAGAGGAGGAGGGCCTGGAGTGGGCGAAGGAGGGTGAAGAGGTGGAGGGAGAAGAAGAAGAATTAGAGGTAGTAGAAAAGGAGGCGGAGGAGAAGGAGTGGGGAATAAGAAAGGAGGATAAGGATGAGGAGGAAAGCGAGAGTGAAAGAGAAGAGGAGAAAGGGACAAATAAGAGGAAAAGGATGATGAGGAAGAGAGAAGGCAAACGAAGAGAAAGAAAAGGAGGAGGAAAAAGAAAATGAAGATGAGGACGCAACATGGCACCAAAGAAAGTGGAGGAAGAAAGGAGTAAGGACAAGAGAGAATAAGTAGGAAGAGGAGGAAGAGGAAGAGGAAGAGAAAGAGAAGAAGAAGAGGAGGAGGAAGAGGAAGAGGAAGAGGAGAAGAAGAGGAGGAGGAGGG